GGTTCAAGTGATTCTCCAGCTTCAGCCTCCTGAGTAGCTGGGATTACAGGTGTGTGCCACCATGCCCGGCTAATTTTTGTATTTTTAGTAGAGACGTGGTTTCATCATATTGGTTAGGTTGGTCCTGAACTCCTGACCTCGTGATCCGTCCGCCTCAGCCTCCCAAAATGTTGGGATTACAGGTGACAGCCATTGTGCCCAGTCCCAGAATGCTTTTAACAGCATCCAAGTCACTTTTTGAATGCTTTGCTGCTTAGAAATTTCTTCCTCCAGATACCCTAAATCACATCTCTCTCAAGGTCAGAGTTCCATAAATCTCTAGGACAGGGACAAAATGCCGCTAGTCTAGTCTCTTTGCTAAAAGATAACAAGAGTCACCTTTGCTCCAGTTCCCAACAAGTTCCCCATCTCCCTCTGAGACCACCTCAGCCTGGACCTTATTGTTCATATCACTATCAGCATTTTTGTCAATGCCATTCAACAAGTCTCTAGGAGGTTCCAAACTTTCCCACATCTTGTCTTCTGACCCTCCAAACTGTTCCAACCTCTGCCTGTTACCCAGTTCCAAGTCACTTCCACATTTTTGGGTATCTTTTCAGCAATACTCCACTCTACTGGAACCAGTGTACTGTATTAGCCTGTTTTCACGCCGCTGATAAAGACATACCTGAGATTGGGCATAAAAACAAGTTTAATTGAACTCACAGTTCCACATGGCTGGGGAGGCCTCAGAATCGTGGTGGAAAGCAAAAGGCACTTCTTACACGGTGGCGGCAAGAGAAAATGAGGAGAAACCAAAAGTGGAAACCACTGATAAACCCATCAGATCTCGTGAGTCTTATTCACTACCATGAGAATAGCATGGGAAAGACCAGCTCCCATGGTTCAATTACGGCCCCCTGGGTCCCTCCCACAACAGGTGGGAATTCTGGGAGATACAATTCAAGTTGAGATGTGGGTGAGGACACAGCCAAACCATATCACCCACCTCGGGAGACCCCGTGGCTCGGCTTGGCTCATTTCGTGCAGGGTCCCTGGCGCTGATCCCTCTCCTCTCCATGGCAGTGTGGGGACTGCAATGCGTATCTGAGAGTGAGGGGCTAGTCGTCTGCTTGGAAATGAGTTGGAGGCACCCCAGGAGTGGGACCCCACAGTGAGTGACCCAAGGGGCCCCGGAAGATGCAGACCTGACCGTGTCTCCCCCGGGACGGTCTGTCCAGGAAAAAGTCCTCCCAGCCGCACCTGCCAGCCACCGGGTTTGGGGGCACAGACAGCGAGCTGCAGACCCCACTCCTCTGCAGCCCTCCCCACCTTCAGCCCAGCTGCAGCGGCACCCAGAACACCCTGGCCCGGGGTCTCCAAGGGTGAGGGCCGCAGGGTCTGGCAGCACCCCATGAAGGCTGCCCCAGGTCCCTGTTTCAGCTCTCCAAACCCCCGTACCCAGGGAACCTGGGCCTCCATTCCTGAGCCCCCCAGTTTTTGCCTCTCTCATTCTCTTTGCCCCTAAGGGATTTTGCCTTTTTAATTCTTTTGCTGTCACCTTAATTGGCCTTAGGGGAGATGGACCAGCAGGCCTGAGATCCAGGGTGTTAGGGCTCCTCCCAGCAGGGCGGACCCAGCCACACAGAGCCCACCGCCAGCGTCCAAGGGCTCCAGAAAGGGCGTCGCTGCCTTCTCAGAAGGCCCTCTCCACTATGCCCAGAACCGTGAATGCCCCGGCCTGGGTTTTTCACCAGGAAATGAAGGGAAAGACAGACCTGTGGGATGGAGGTGGGTCCCAGCGGGGGCAGTCACACCCCCATGCCATCTCTGCACAGACCCCGAAGGATGTGGAGTGCCCTCCAGGGCCGTACAAAGCACCACAGGGTGCGAGCGACAGGGACGTGTGTCCTCACTGTCCCGAGGCTGCAGCTCTGACACTGGGTGGGGAGGGTGGGCCCCAATCCCTGGGTCTCCTCCCTGGGTCCTCACAGGTACCCCCATGTGTGTCTGTGTCCTGATCTCCCCTTCTTATGGCAACACCAGTCCTACTGGATTAGGGCCTATCCCAAAAACTTCATTTCACCTCTGCAAAGACCCCATCTCCAAATACAGTGACATGGGGCCTAGGGCTTCAACATGGCAATTGGAGGGAAACAACTCAGCCCACAGCATATCGCAGATCCTTCCCCCAACAGAGGCAGAGGCTCCCCACGCCAGCTCTCGGGGAAGGGTCTGGGCGCCCACGGGGACTCTGCACACTATTCTCTCCACCTCCATGAAAGAGGCGTGTCCATCTCCCGGATGAGAAAACTGAGCTCAGCCAGGATCAAAGCAGGTCTCGTCCCAGTCTCCTCACTCTACCACTCTCCATTTTTATTTGCTTTTTATTGCCTTTTGGCTGCCTATAAAGGCAATTATTCATGTAATACAATATTTGGAAAACTACATTTGCAAATTCTGAAAAATCATGCAAAAACATCACTAAAAGCCAGCCGGGCACAGTGGCTCACGCCTGTAATCCTAGCACTTTGGGAAGCTGAGGTGGTCAGATCACCTGAGGTCAGGAGTTTGAGACCAGCCTAACCAACATGAAGAAACCCCATCTCTACTAAAAATACAAAATTAGCTGGGTGTGGTGGCACATGCCTGTAATGCCAGCTACTTGGGAGGCTGAGGCAGGAGAGTTGCTTGAACCCAGGAGGCAGAGGTTGCGATGAGCCGAGATCACGCCATTGCACTCCAGCCTGGGCAAAAAGAGCAAAACTCCATCTCAAAAAAAAAAAAAAAATCACTAAAAGCCACAGTCCCCTCCTGGCCACTCCTGTCTCCTTCTCGCTCCTGGTGCCATCTCATCTGTCTCAGCCTCTGCCTGTCCCCTCAGAGCTGTGGCCCAGCCCTCCCAGGTGCGGGGGAGGGGTCATACACTCTCCCACAGGTGATCCGGGTGCTGAGAGGGGAAACAGTGCTGTCCCACAGGTGAGCCAGTGGCCATTTCCAAATTCCCAGGGCCTCTGTCAGCAGGTGTCCAAAGAGCCTGCTTGGGAGCCCTGCACATCCACATGTCCCACCCTTGGACCTCCAAACTGCACTGGGGGCCGGCACAGTGGGCTCTGACCCACAGGGATGCTGGGCTAGCACCCTTGGGGGAAGACAGTGGGCACCCGGGGCCTGAGCAGTGGGCAGAGCCCCAATCCCCGCTGCTTCCCCCCGGCTGCTCCCTGGGGACCCCCAGACCACAGTACCAATGGGGGCAGGGTGGGCCCCCCACACAGGTCCTGGACTCATGTACAACCTCCTCTCGCCTAGGCTTGTCCTGGTATCCGTGGCCCAAGGATTTGCAGAGCTGCAGACGGAGCCCAGGGCGGCTGTCGCAGGCCACTCACTCATCCCCAGCATCCGCAGTTTCTCAGGCTCTCAACAATAAACTTTATGTCTCATGGTTCAAGAAATGCCAGGCTCTGGGCCGAGAGGCAGAAGGCTCAGGCACAGCTCCCACTTTTTAAGGCAGCAGAAGCCACCATTTCTCTCTATTGTTGGTTTCCTCCCTGGATCTTTTGCTGAAAGCACATTTGTTTTTCTTTTTCTTTTTTTTTGAGACGGAGTCTCGCTCTGTCCCCCAGGCTGGAGTGCAGTGGCGTAATCTCGGCTTACTGCAAGCTCTGCCTCCCGGGTTTCCGCCATTCCCCTGCCTTAGCCTCCGAAGTAGCTGGGACTACAGGCCCCACCACCATGCCCGGCTAATTTGTTTGTATTTTTATTAGAGATGGGGCTTCGCCGTGTCAGCCAGGATGGTCTTGATTTTCTGACCTTGTTATCCGCCCACCTTGGCCTCCCAAAGTGCTGGGATTACAGGCGTGAGCCACCGCATCCAGCCTGTTTTTCTTACATTACATTGAAGTAGATCAAGTTTCTGATAAATGTTAGATTTAGCCTGACTCAGCATGAGCCTGGCTTCTCCCGCCAGTCGGCACATGGGTGGGTACCAGGCACACAGTCTCCCCGCCCTGCCCACCATCTGCTGTCCTGGAGCCCTTGGTGGGACCCGCTGCCCACAGACACCTTGCCCATGCCCCAGTGCCAGGCAGAGGCCTCTGTGCTCTGAAGAGTGAATAAAACATGAAATTGGCCGGGCGCAGTGGCTCACGCCTGTAATCCCAGCCTTGTGGGAGGCCCAGGCAGAAGGAGCACTCGAGCTCAGGAGTTTGAGGCCAGTCTGGGCAACATAGTGAGACCCCATCTCTATGAAAAAACAAAATCAGGACGGGCACGGTGGCTCACGCCTGTAATCTCAGCACTTTGGGAGGCTGAGGCAGGCGGATCACAAAGTCAGGAGATCGAGACCATCCTGGCTAACATGGTGAAACCCCGTCTCTACTAAAAATACAAAAAAATTAGCCGGGCGTGGTGGCAGACGCCTGTAGTCCTAGCTACTAGGGAGGCTGAGGCAGGAGAATGGCGTGAACCTGGGAGGCGGAGCTTGCAGTGAGCCGAGATTATGCCACTGCACTCCAGCCTGGGCGACAGAGCAAGACTCTGTCTCAAAAAAAAAAGAAAAAAAATCAGCTGGGTGTGTTGACATGCACCTGTAATCCCAGCTACTCGGAAGGCTGAGGTGGGAGGATCACTTGGGCCCAGGAGGTCAAGGCTGCAGTGACCCAAGATTGGGCCACTGCATTCTAGCCTGGGTGACGGAGCAAGACCCTGTTTCCAAAAAAAAGAAGAAGAAAAGAAAGAAGAAAGGAAAGGAAAGGAAAAAAAAGAAAAGAAAAAAGGAAAAGAAAAGAAAAAGGAAAAGAAAAGAAGGAAAAGTGAGGCCCTGCACAGAAGCAGGGTGGCTGGCAGCAAGTTATCTGGAGCGGAGGGCTGGTGCTGAGTGCAGCGAGGGCGGGGTGAGCCTCGTGAAACCCCCATCGCACAGGGAGGCCCTGCCGGGAGGCCACTCCACCTCTGTTTGTCTTGTCCCAAACAGCAGAGGCCACAGCTGCTCCTGGACAACACTCCTGCCCCTTGCGTGCCCCATGGCCGTCCGGAGTGTGGACTTGGCTTCCGGCACCAACGCACCCCTCGACCCCCAGACGGCGGCGGCATCAGCGGCGCTGATGGTGTTTGATGAGCAAATGAATAAAGGCAGCAGGTCCCCCACCACCACCTCCACTCCCACGGGCACTCCCAGCGGCTCCTGGAAATTTCCCTGGGTTCTCAGTACTCCCCCAGCCATAGGTTCAGTAGGCGTTAGACCCTCTCCCCAACCCTCCTCTGGGGCGTCTGTACCCCGACCCCCACCCCAGGCCGCTCCTCAGCCCCCACCCCTCCC